GTCTGGGGCAGAGCAGCTGGGGTGCTGTCGGGTTGGTCCCGCAGCGCTGAGGGGCGCATCCTCCCCACTCCACCTCAGACTCCTCCTAGCCCCCCCTTCCGATAGCCCAGCATTTCTCATAATCTGGTACCCCCTGGGTCCTAAAGGTGCCGCATTATCGGAAGTTTACTGTACATTGTTATTCTCAAAAGCAGTTAACTGCTTTTTTCTTTCTATGGCTCAAAAGATTGATTTCTAAGCTATTTTATATTGCAAGGATTTTTTAAAAAACAAAGACCTAAAAGGCTGCAGTCACAATGACAGTAATGGCACTTGTCCCTATTGACTTCCACAAGATAACATATACGTGATCAAAAGAAAAAAAAATGAAGGCTTTGTGGAGACTTAATGTGGCCAAAGTGGTTTGTTACTACATAAGTTCACACCTGCAATTGGTTTTAGTTTGTTTAGCTCCTAAATCTACTCTACCAACCACACTATTACTACTATATTATTCAGTAGGAAAATTTTTCAATCAGTTTTGTCTCACATCTTTCCTATAGATGATACACTTTTGGATATGAATTATTTTTTGAGAGGCACAGGAGGAAAGAAAGAGGGAGACTATAGCAGCTCCCAAAAGTATGTGTCCCTTTTCACAACAGATGCCAATGACTAAAAAACAATGAAAGGAGGAAGTACATTAAAAAGTTAATTGTTCATAAGATGGAATAGCAAATAATATTAGAGTAATATGTTCCCTCCGACTGCTTACCTCATTCCAAAATGCATATATGAAACATACTATATAGTTAATGCAGCTGTTGCGCTAATTGGCACATCTGTAATAGACAACATACAAATATGGCCTACAAATTTCAAGAATTAACACTGACATAGCACACATTAATCCAACCAATCCTAGTGTCACTTAAAACCTTCTTTTAGAGAGAAACCCTTATCACTGTAACATTTTAAAGCTATTTATCTTATGAAAGTAAAACTGATTACAATCATTGTGAATCACTATGTACCTGAGCAGCATATTCTCTATGTATTTTTATCTTTTCCTTCAATTGGTTTGCTAAGTATTGAAAACAAATCCAAAGAAGAGTTAAAACAATTTTACAAAATTCAGTAGCTTCCAATTTAGTTTTAATAATTCAATATTCATCTCTGTTTTCATATTCTGCAACTGCATTTAGTACAAAAAACAAAGTACTTAAACAACCTTTGCTGAAGTCTTACCAATACACATTTTGGAACAACCATACTGCCCTGCCTGTTCTAAAAACGATCCAAATACAGGCAGTCCCCGGGTTACGTACAAGATAGGGACTGTAGGATTGTACTTAAGTCAAATTTGTACTTAAGTCGGAACTGGCATCCAGATTCAGCCGCTGCTGAAACTGACCAGTGGCTGACTACAGATCAGGACGCCTGGGGCACAGCAGCTGGGGTGCTGCCGGGTTGGTCCAGTGGCGCCGAGGAGCGGCGCTGCGGGACCAACCGGCAGTGCCCCAGCTACTCTACCACAGGCGTCCTCGAGAAAAGCCTGGTCTGCTGGGAGGGGGCGCATTAGCTGCGCTCCCCTCCCCCAGCAGACCATGGAGACGCGGGCGGCGGGACCGAGACGCGCCGCGGTCCCACCGCCCGGGTCCTCCGCAGCTTTGCTCCGCGTCTCTCTGGTCTGCTGGGGGGGCCCCCCACCAGCAGACTAGGGAGACACGGAGCAGCTTTTCTCGCCCCAGAGGACGCGGGGGGTGGGACCGCGGCGCGTCTGGGCGGGCCCGCCGCCCGCATCCCCCC